AAACTGAGCACAACTCACTTAACAACCATCAGAAATGTAAATCCCAACTATGGTCGTAAGTTAAGGACAATCTATAGCCATGGTGGTAAACCTATGGCATGCGTGCCAGAAGTGGCATGCAAAGTCATTACTGCTGGCACATGAGCCCTCGCCCAGAAAGTCTACTGTGCATGTGTGTGCGCCGCCTGCCTGCCCGCCAGCTGATTGTTGGGTATATGGCGCGCATGTGCAGAGAATCTTGCGCATGCGCAGAAGTATGCGGTGCGCATGGGGGGGTCGCATGTGCAGGAGGCATGGGGGGCCCGCGCATATTGCCTTCTGGGTGATGGCATGCGAGCACGAGCAGACAAGCACATGCACAATTATCGACACGGGAGCTCAAAAAGGTTAGCCAATACTGACCTATAGAGTCTTCACAAGGAAAGTCCTAATCGGATTGAATAGGTGTTTGAATAAGTGTTTAATGAACTAAGCAAATGGGGCAGGAAAAGCAAACCCAAGTCATCCCTAAAGCCAGTTCTAGATAAGAGCTATGCCAGCAGGAATAGGGAGGCTGCTATTCCCATCACCAGTTCTCCTGACAAAGACCAACTGGTCAAGTTGACCTGCTGGGGGTTGGTTGGGGGGGTGAAATCTGAACAAACCATGTTACCAGTGAAAGGTTCTGAAATAGAATCATCTGGAGGCAGAACCAGAGTCAGACTTACGTTATCCAAAGAGGCCCCCATTCACACTTTTTTTCCTATGCCAGCATCGCACTTCACTTTCCCTTATACTGTATCATTTGTGTTGGAAGGCTAACAAAAAAAATGGTGATACTACTGAGCAAAATAATTATGAATAGAATTGAATTTCTAAGTCCTCAAGTTTTGTTAACTGTTGTGCTTTTCCCCCCTCTACTGATAAGATACAAGACACATGTATTACAATAACAATATATACTAGTGGTAATACAATATAAACAAGCAATTTACATAAGTGTCGGCTTATCGTGCTGAAATTCCAAAGAGGAATTTTGGATGATGAATGCCCTTTGTTGTCACAATCACTCTAATCTTCTATGTTTAGTGGTGACTGAAATTAATCTTTCCTTTAAAGAAAGGTTAGAAAAAACATTCGCTAGTCTAGACATTGTCCTAGACACATTAGGTTTAAATATAGGGTTGGATGAAATACTTGGACAGCATACAGGTCACAGAACATTAGGATGGCCAAAATAACAAAGATTAAGGTTTCACTCCAGCACAATATCAACATACTCTAATGAGAGAGACAGAAAGAGGAATTTTCAGACAATTATAGGCCTTAACCCAGCTCTCCGGTATCTGAAGATTGAGCCTATTGCAATAGTTCATGGGCTTTGTAACTTTCATGCAATTAAAAATAAGTATTTTCCCATATAATATTTTTGGTGTCAGCATCAGCCAACATAAAACAGACTGGATTCCATAAGAACCTTCGCATGACTGAAAACAAGGTTTTCTATCTTCATTGGACAATCACAGACTATCAATTTTAGATTAGATGGATCATTTAAATCACAGAAAGTCCTCGTGCTGCTTGGTGGGCAAGAGAAAGGAGAATGGGAAGAAAATGCTCTTGGGTCTGTTGATCATTTCTATTGCAATAACTCCATATTCAGAACAGCTATGTTGCTCCTGAACTGGAACCATTCAATATATTGAATAGTCACGTCTGAAATTCCAGAATGAAATTTGGTATAGGTAGTCCTCGATCTGTCAACTTTAGATGCATGGGGCTTCCACAAAATTCCCCCATCAGAATTTGAACTGATGTCCACACATCTTAAAGTTGCCAACTTAGAAAAACACTGATATAGATAAATAAACATATAAGGTCAAATTACCTGATGTTCTAATATACAAATTAGAAAAGAGGCATAGCTGTTAAACAGAACATATGAAATTATACATTAGGAACATGACAATGTTAGCAGAAAACTAAGAAAACCCGTTTGGCTTTGTTAAGACTGCCACCTGCTGAGGAAAATTAAGGACAGCATTGCTCAAAGTTAATCATAAAGAAACTGAGAAGGAATGTTTTTAATTTAGTAACATTCCTTAGATTATTTCATCATCTGGCCTTGGACGTCCTGTCCATTATCAATAAAATGAAGATGATAATGGAATCTTCTGGAAAATGGAATGGAATCTGCCTCAGTTCTATAGTTTCCACTGTGATCACTAGCCTGGACTTGAGGCAAGCTTAACACAGCATCGGACTTACCAAGAAGAACCAAAGTCTTTGATAGAAAGGCTGTATAAACAACTAATAAAACCCTAATTAGTGGCTGTTTAAGAATAAAGGCACCTCCGAATAGGAGCGCACAAATGACTCCAAATTCCAGAAGTAGGTAAAATATTCAGTCAGACATAGTAAAATATTTGGAATAGCAATACAATACTATAATCATAAATTTGGCCACGGCTCTTCAAGTTTGCTAGTGTAAAATGACAAAATGTGTTCTCTAAACATGTCTGGGTATCAAAAATTAGGTAAAATGTCCGCAGAAGAACCAATCACAACTCTATAAGTCCAGTCTGCAGAAATTAATTTATGGATTAGTTTATAACACAAATGTTATTTTAAGTATATTCTTCATATATGGTGTATTAATGGCTGGAATAAAATATAATGGATATCGGAGATGAAATCAGATCTTTTACCATCAGAGAGTAACATAGAGATATTAGAGTCAGCATAGCTGACCCTGGGTTCCATGTATGCCTTGCATTTAAGAAGCTTAAGATTTAAGGTTCAGGGAAAACCTGGGACCTTAGAATTTTTCCACAATGAAAAGACTAGAAATGCAAGTTGCATTTTAAAACTCTCAATTATTATACGCTAAATGTCAATTGAGAAAGCTTCTGACATGTATGGTATATCATGTACAAGATTATTCAAAAATATTTTATTGACCTACAGAAGATTTATACCAAAATGCTTTGAAACAACATTTCTTTGGAATCTGAAGTGCTGTATGACTTGTATCATACATGATCCTTAGGCAACTGTTTCCATTGGGCAGCATTTTATGAAGACAAGATGGTTTACTGACTGTTCAAAGTTATAACATCATGGAAAAAAGTGACTTAGAACTGCTATAACATCACTGCCATATGATCAACATTCAGATGCTTGGCAACTGACTCATATTTATGACAGTTGCAATATCCTTTTGGTCATGTGGTCACCTTTTGCAACCTTTTGACAAGTAAAGTCAATGGGCAGCCAAGTTCACTTAATCGTCTTACTAATTTAATAACTGCAATGATTTGCTTAATTGTGGCAAGAGAAGTTGTAAAATGTGACAAAATTCACTTAACAATTGTGTCACTTAGCAACATAAATTTTGGGCTGAATTGAGGTTGTAAGTCGAGGTCTGTCTGTAGTAGTTTGGCTGCCTAGAACTACTAGCTGTTTGGTTCAGGTTTTATCTTGTTATTAAGGAGGACAGCCTTAACATGCATCATAAGTTTTAGCAATGTTACTGCTTACTGAATATTGTTAAAATGCTATAAACACTGTGAGGAAAAAAAAACCAGTTTGAACATTTCTTGTTTGTTATCAAATGTTCTACTGGCTGTATGTGCAGATATTCATGAGAGAGAAGCAAAGCAATTTGTAAAACCTCTTGTTGAGAATTTTTATTTATTTTTAGTTTCAGTATACCATCACATTCCTAAAAATACTTTGGCAATTTTCTTGCAATTGAATGTGCAACCTATTTAGTCATGGAAACGCTTATCTCTGCAGAATTATTTAAATACATGTTTATTTTGTTGCCTATCACAGAAAGGCAGGATAACAAAACTTTGACAACTCACATGAAAGATTATAGTTTCTCTTCAAATTCTACTCAATAACACTACTGCAATTCTTGTGCTATACTGCAATCAACATTAAATCCTGTATATACTTACTAAAACTAACCTCTGCTTAGCCAAAATAGCTTTGTTTCCAAGTAATCGTACATAGTTTACATTTTAGTTTATTCAATTTTTAAAACTAATTTGAGACAGTTTTACAAAATACAGTGCAAACAAGACAAGAAAAATAGCAGTCAATTACATCCACAGTAGTCGAATATTAAAATCAGTTCCACAGCATAAATTGTTATTTTGATGGAAGCTGGACTGTTTTGCTGCAATTAGCAAAATTTCTAAATCTATTTATATTATATTATTTCCTGGCCTCAATAAAAGTGCAAGTCAAATGGGAACTACTGCCACTATAACTTACATGAACAAAATCTTTTTGTAACTTCTTTTATAAAAGCATGTAATGTGTCCCTAATGGTTCTATCAAAATGTGGAAACAATTAGCTCTACAGATGCAATGCAGAATATGGATATTTAAGCAGTATAACACTAAAAGAATTAGTGTTAACATAGAGATCATAACCATAGAAAAGTTGTAATATTTTAATGCAAAACTATAAGTTGAAATAAAACAGATTTAAGCCTAACTGTATCCCCCTTATGTTTAACATTTAATTCTTTAAATCTAGAAATGACTACATTTTTACAATGTTCTTGTCTAACAGAATGTAATGAGTAACCTAGTGACACTCGCGGAGTTCTGGATGGGAAACTCTGGACAAAGAAACATACACAAGAGTGGCAATTTGTTATGATAAACAGAGAATACTTTTGATGTAGATGTATGAGAGGTCCTTAGGCAAGAAATAATTAAATCTCTTCTTAAATACTTAAAATCTGTAATCAGCTGAAATAATGTATTAACCATGCATTGTGTCACACAGTTTAAAAATATAAAAGCCACATGTGCTCTGATATTTTGGTTTTAATGTTAGTTCTTTTCTTAGCTAGAGGATGTAGGAAAATTATATACAAAGTGTGCTTTTCTTCAAACTGGAAGGTGTTAAAAACTGAGTAAGATGTTGCAGAATAAAGTATAGTAAGAAGTCAATTGCAATGAGCTAATTGGGGGAAAACTGATTCATATAAGAACTCATGCTAAAAAATCTAGGAAAAAAATATCCTTGTGTTCCTATGCTGCCTGCTTATGAACATGGACTTTGTGCATGCGTCCATCATTTTGACAATTAAAAAAACAACTCTAAAAGCCCAGCTTTCCAATTCATTTAGCAGCTGATAAAATAATTTAAATACAGAAAGAGAAAGACAAGGACAAAAACTAATTTCAAACAGCTATAGAATGTATGAAATCAATAAATATCTTTCATAGACAGTTATGGTCATTAAATAGACATTCTTGATTAGTCACATTTTTATTCTTATGGGAAAACACTAAACTGGGACAGATAACATTTATAAGCCTCAAACATGGTCATTTGCTTGCAGGCTTTGTGATACAAAATATCTCAACATAACACATATATATTAATAAGAGATTAAGATGAACAATAAAATATTTAATTACTAGTTACTGCAAAATGTTTTTTAAAATCTGATCAAGATAATATGCTAAACATTATGGATACCAATTCCATAAATAATATGAAATTGGAATTTGAGAATTTTGCTACCATATATGGAAGAAAATAGAATCAAACCTGCTGACCTCCAGTGTTATTAATGGGGGGGGGGGCATAAGAATCTTCAGAACATTAGCGGCATATTTTTATAATGAATTCCCTGTAAGGTTGCTGAATTAAACAGATATAATGGAACAAAAAACTGAAACATTTCTATTATTTGGTTTTTGCTTTACTAAACCTTTTCACTGAGAAATATTTTCTTCCTATACTTTAAAAATACTCTTAGGTTATCCAAGAGTCTAACCCTTTCCTAACTGTCTTTAGAGATTGGGTCAGGATATTGCATTGAATGCAAGCTAACATTCATGAAATGACTTGAAGCATTATTTTGACTACAGTATGGTAATTTGGTCTTTGGTATGTAAAACTAAGCTTCAAATCCAGATACAGCATCTAGGGCTACCAGCAGCCAATTTTTTAAATCCTATTACATAATAAACGTACTGCAGAAATACAAGCCTTTATGCAATGCTGAAACTATTATCAAATGTACCGTAGAGTTTCATGCATAAACAATATTATTATTTCCATAAAAAAATAAATTGTTTGAATTACTCTTTATTGTACCAGCAATTTTTAATATTCCCTACTGTTTCAAGCATTGATCTTTCTATAAATAAAATAGGTTTCCTCTAAAAGGTTAAGCAGAAATATGGAAGTGAAGAAATAGAAAAAAAAACATTCACAATGATTAGGCAGACATTCAATTATCACAAATGATAGAAAATATAAACTACATTTTTTGTTACATCATTTACATGATTTTTGTAGGCTTTCAAACATTAACTTGTACAGACATGTTAGACATCAACTTCAGAAGGCATCATGGTGTTGGAGCAGGAGTCACTTTCATACTGCTAAGTGCTGCATGGATTCTGAAATGTAATCTGGATTCCATGGAATATTCCTTGTAATTATTTCTACAAAACAACATTCAGTTTACTTGGTCATTTGCCATAGCCCAACTACTCCAATAAAATCACAGAGAGAAATCTGGATGAAAATTTTCCAGTGAAAATATTTTACAGGTAGTCCTCGTCTTATGAACATAATTGAGTTCAAAATTTAAGTGAGAAATTTGTTAAGTGAGTTTTGCCCCATTTTATTATTTTTCTTGCCACATTTGTTAAATTAATCACTGCAGTTGTTCAATTAGTAACACAGTTATTAAGTGAACCTGGCTTTCCCATTGACTTTGCTTGTCAGAAAGTCACAAATGATGATCACAAGACCCTGGGACATTACAACTGTCATAAATATAAACCAGTTGTCAAGCATCCGAATATAAATCACATGACGATAGGGATGCTGCACTGGTCCTAAATGTGAAAAGTGGTCATAAGTCATTTTTTCATTGTTGTTATAACTTTGAACAGTCACTAAACTGTTATAAGTCAAGGACTACCTGTATTTTTTAAATTTTAAACATGCTGCTGGCCAGATAATTCTGGGACTTGAATTCCACCCATCTTAAAAGTTGACAAGGTTGTGAAGCACTGTTCTAGACTATGCCCTGTTCTAATCCAGGCATTCTCATTATCCAAATTCTCTATTAGTTCCTGCTCAAATACAGAAATCCCACCTTAATTTTTACTCACAAATGCTGAAGTTTCAATTTTCCTAGTAATCAGATAATCATATTTTAGTTTACAAGATCTACTAGAAGAAACCTTTCAAATTTAATGTCAATTCTCCTATTTTCAATTCAGAGTGTGTTCACTGTTTTCCCCATCGAGCTCCTGCAGCAGTTTTTATACTTTTGGCATTTGTGCATCAAATTAAGCTTTCTCTCTAACGTGGAAGTAGCTGAATCATATGGAAATTCAGTTTGATCTCTTGTGTTATTTAAGAAGCTTTTATACACTTTTCCTGTTTTTTTTTTTTTCAATCAGCAAGTTATCAAGTTTTCGCGGGTACTTACATGTATGGTATTCAGCTTTGTTCGGGTATTTTCCCACGTCATTATAGTTGTGCTTTTAAAGTTGTAGCAACGTTTCGGCAGAATCTCATCTGCCATCGTCAGGCTTCTGTATTGTGTTCGTCTGTGAGTCAGACGTTTCAGTTTTAAATTTGGGGCTAGCCTACTGTTGTGCCAGAATGGTTTTTTCTTAATCCTGATTAGTTGGGAGTCTTGGTCTGTGTTTATTGGTCTTGGACTTTGCTGTGTTCTGCTTGATTGGTGTTTCTAATATCTTCTGTCTGTTTTGTGGCTTTTTTTGTCTTGATTGCCTGGCAACATTGTGTTCCTGTATTGGAGGCTTTTAGTGCAGCTTGGCTCTGAGTAAATGGACGGCTATCATTTATTAGGAAGCTAGGTTTCATCTGGGTGCCTGGTTGGGGTGTGTTTGAGCTGGAGGTATCAGGGGGGATCTGTGCCCAGGTGTTTGCCTGGCTTGTGGTGTGGAGATTTTTTTGTTTGTGAGTGCAGGCTTCCAGATAATTGACAGTCTGATGGAATCATCTCTTCTATTCATGCTTTCAGGTCTTTTTTCAATCTCTATGGCTTCTCTGATAATTCTGTGGCTGGGGTTTTGGTGCCATTGAAGTCGATGCTATGACCTGTGGCTTTCATGTGTTGGACTAGTGAGGAAGTGCGTTCCAGCTTTTTTACTGCATTTTTGTGTTCATCCAGACAGGTACTTAATCTTCTATTGGTCTGTCCAATGTATGAGGCAGGGCATGACGCATAGGGGACTTCATATATGCCTTGGTTTTCCAGGTCAATTTTATCTTCGGGGTTTCTTAGGATGGCTGCTATTTTTCTGTCTGTTTTGAAGGCAGTCTTGATGTGATGCCTGTGTAGTATCTTGCTGATTTTGTCTGTAGTATCTCTTATGTGGGGCAGGACAGCTGTTCCATAGCTCTGTTCATCTTCTAGGTCTCCATTATGTCTCAGTGTGTTTTTGTGGATCAAGCCGGTGATTTTGCTTTTGTGGAAGCCGTTAGCTGTCAGTACTTTAGTCAGGGTGCATAGTTCAGTCTTTATGTGTGTCTTGTCTGCCAGGCGTTTGGTTCTGGCGATTAGTGTTTTGGCCATGGAGTTTATCTGTGCTGGGTGGTGGTGGGATTGGGCGTTGAGGTAGCGGTTGGTGTGTGTTTTCTTCTGGTATATGGTGTGTCCTAGTGTGCCATCTGTTTTTTTGTAGATTAGTACATCTAGGAATGGTAGTTGTTTGTTTGTTTCCGTTTCCATGGTGAACTTGATTTTGGGGTGTGTGCTGTTTAGGTGTGTTAGGAAATTGTTTAGGTTTTCTTTTCCATGGGGCCAAATCACAAATGTATCATCGATGTATCTTAACCATAGTTTGGGTTTGTGGACGGCATTAGCTAGGGCTCTGGATTCGAATTCTTCCATGAACAGGTTTGCAATGACGGGTGACAGTGGTGATTCCATAGGGGCTCCTTCAATTTGCTTGTATCTTTGTCCTTTGTATATGAAATATGTGTTGGTTAAGCAGTGTTCTGCTAGTTCCATGAGGTGTTTAGCTGGCTGGTATTTAGTTTTGATGATTTCAAGAGTTTCTTTTATCGGGACTTGAGTGAATAGTGAAACCACGTCGAAACTTACAAGCAGATCTTCTTGTTCCACGTGTAGATCTTTGATCATTTCCAAGAAGTGGTATGAGTTTTGTACATGTGAAGCTGCTGCTTCAGCATGGGGCTGTAGCTGCTTTGCTAAGTGTTTAGCTAGGTTTTGTAGTGGTGCTCCTCTGGAGCTGACTATGGGTCTGAGAGGTATGCCTTCTTTGTGTATTTTTGGGAGGCCGTATAGTTTGGGGCATCTGGAAGATTTTTCTCTTGGGATGATTGTCTGTTGGATCTCTTTGCTCATGAGGCTGGTTATAATTTTCTTCTTGGTTATTTTTTCCAGATATGTGGTTGGGTCTGTGTTTATGGGTTTGTATGTGGAGTCTTGGATTTTGTTTCGTAGTCTTTTCTATCCATTACTACTGTGGCATTACCTTTATCTGCTGGAAGTAGCATAATCATAATCACAATAAACACAGACCAAGACTCCCAACCAATCAGGATTAAGAAAAAACCATTCTGGCACAGCAGTAGGCTAGCCCCAAATTTAAAACTGAAACGGCTGTGAAAGTCTGACTCACAGACAAACACAATACAGAATCCTGATGATGGCAGATGAGATTCTGCCGAAACGTTGCTACAACTTTAAAAGCACAACTATAATGACGTGGGAAAATACCCGAACAAAGCTGAATACCATATATATATACTGTATGTATTATAATTGATTATAGTTGTACAAAAAAATTACTTACTTTGCAGTTTCTATAAATCTTACAGCCTTTTCTCTTTCATTCTGTTGTTTATATAGAAGACCCAACTCGTATGTTGAATATGGAGCTAAGTAAGTATCATACTTTAATTGTTTCTCACTAAAATGCAAATAGACATTGTATCATTAAGGGCAACTAAAAAGGTTGGTTAAAACTCTTTTTCTTTGAATATATCTATAAAAAATTACCAGTTAAAATTAACTACCTCATGTATTCCTTAAACCATGTTTATGTATTTTAGTAGGATAGTTTTAAATTCCAATGGAAGGCAGCCAACCTGGATAGTGGAAAAAAAGGATCTCTGCACCTGCAGAAGTTTCATGATCCATTTGACTGGTGAAGTTTTATCTATGCAGAGAAAACTTTCAACTGCTTGACTGGACAGAAATTTTGTCAGAAGAGAAAGCATATTTGATTGTGGGGAAACTACCCAAAGTTACTGGAAGTTGGGTGGCATAAAAAATGTTAACCGACTAACTAAATACATAAATAAACTCTAAGCAACTTATATGTGTGCTACCCCATAAACCAAAGGTAAAAATTATTATTCAGGCAGGTAGTGGTTAGATGACTTGATCTGATAAATATGGGATGGTATCGTAGACTCACTAAAGTTTTTTTCCCTTTGTGTCAATGCCAGCCTCAGCATTTTATAGACACCAAGCAGCTTTGCATCTAATGATGGATGAAAGTCCATTTATAGTTAAATATATACAAGAGGCAGAAGGGTAAGCAAGAATTCCACATATGTGCCTGAACAGTTCCTGTCCCCTTTTCCTATTTTCCAATACAAGCATAAAAACAAGAGAAAATGTCACAGATCCCTTGGCTTTTCTTTTACTGATTTTTAGGGGGGAAAAACAAATGTGGGAGAATAAAGTCAGGCACTAACTTAGGGAATGACACAAAGATGTCTCTTAAATGCTACATTCTAATGGCTTTAATTGAAGTATTCTAATAAACTTTCTCTGTTGCTGAATATTATTGCATCTTAAAATTCTGTTCCCAATATTTACCTTTGAATAACTTGGCTGAAACAGAGTTCTGCTTGCAAGAGTCTTCCTAAATGCTTCAAACACAGTCCTTTTAGTAGTTGTAGCAAACATACATCATCCATGTAATATTCATTGTGATCTGGAAAATGAAACATAAGTGAGTTTAAAATTACAGCTATTATAATGAAGGTTGTGAATACAACCAATTGTCAGATACTGTAATTAACAGTTTTATATCTATTTTTAAATCTAATCTTTAATAACTATTATATACAGCAACAAAATTAATAAAAGTCTTGTTTAGTAATATTTGATTCCAGTATAAAGCAGAATAAAGTATAAAGTATATCTTAATACTGGAATGCTCCAAAATAAAGCAAATCCTCTATCATTCTCCCACTTCCCTTTCTTAATTCATATTCAATTATTAGTCAAAATGATAACTCCAGATACAGACACAATATTAAATATGTGAAAAATCATGAAAATAGGTCTATTAATTGCTATGTTTAAAAAGATGAATTTAATATTTGAAATACTATTTAGCATTTATTTATATAGCCTTGAAATATGTGATAGTTTAGTTTATAAAGGGTCTCCCTGAATTATATTGTATTGTATTATTTGCAACCTGTAATAGGTTAAAGCAAAACGTGTCAACAGTCTTGCTTTGAAAACCATATTTCTGTTCTGCTCAGTTCTCTAACTCTTAATTACTGCATGTTTAGAATTTAAAAATCCACACCAGCCAGGATCAACCAATATCTACTGTCACAACAAAACCTTGCTTGTTTCATATTTACTGCCAACCAACTTAAGACTATATAACCTTTGAAAGAATGAAAAATATAGTTAACAAGAGGATTTTCCCCCTAGAATATGGAAAACTGAGCTTATTAATATTTCTAAATAAAATTGTGTGTGCATGTGAGTGTATGTGTAAAAAAATATGGCCCTTGCTTAACATTATCAAGCACAAGCAATGTGTAAAGATAGGATTTATCAATGTGAGTTTCCATGGATTCATCAGTGTATGAAAAGAACAGGCTTCTATTTATTATGGCATCCAATAAATAAAATATATGTTCATTAAATTCAGAGGACTGCAAATGTGTCTTTTCTTCATAGAATATTTAAATATACTCAGTTACATTTGTTCTGTTATTTGTATCTTATAAATCAAAGTAAAACTCACGGGTTTCATTTTTTAAAAGAGTTTCTTCTTTTTCAATAGTTATTAACATATTTTCAGTGAAGTCAGCTCTCTTTCCAAGAACTGAAAACCCACTCCAGACATACATCATTTCCTGAGAAAAAGAAGTCATTAAATGAAAAGTACTTATTTACAATAAGTTATCTATTTACTTCTGAATAAAGATAGATGTTTAGTATTTAGCATTAACATTTCTTTCAGTGTAAATTAATAGAACTTTAAAATGCAACAAATGTATTCTTTGAATCTAGCTAAAAAGCAATTAATATAAAGGAAGCAGATATTAAAATGATACACCATGAAAAATTGCAAATTAAAAATTAATACTTTTTCAGTAAAAGTGCCAGATTTTAATTTTTGTATTTGCCCTCTTGAACCATTCAAAATGTAAGTATACAAATACTCATATAACTTACTTGCAGCAGCATGAATCCATATTTATTATTTAAAAAATGGTTTTCAAGATGGCTGCGCACATGGATGCTGCAGCTGGCCACTCCTTCTTTCAGTGTATGGTGTGTATGATTCTGTGTGTGTTTTGGATCCTTTCCTTGACTGAATCCTGTGGGGCAAGGGGCATCTATAGTCGGCAAGCTTTGCTACAAATTGGACTGAAATGTGAAAAGGCTATTATGGATGATTTTATACATTTTCATAGCACACCGAAGGAGGCAGCTAGGATCCTAGGGGAGGAAGGAGGAAGAGGTAGAGAAAGAGGAACAGGAAGAGAAGATGCCATGCTGGGGTTTTCTTTAGGCTGAGTAAGTTTCCACACAAGCCTTCAATTCCAAGTATATTTCTTACCAATGCAAGATCTCTGACTAACAAAATGGATGAATTAAGGCTACAGATTGCAAAAACTAATTCATCAAGAACTGCTGTGTTTTGCTTATCACAGAAACTTGGCTTCATTCACTCATTCCAGATGCAACTGTTGAGCTGGAAGGCTACATAGTAGAGATTCTGACAAGAGTAAAGGGGGAAGTTTAAGCCTTTACGTGAACAAAAGCTGGTGTATCAATACAAAGACAGTAGACAGCCATTGCTCCATGGATCTGGAGTATATGACTCTTAAATGTAGACCCATATATCTTCCACGGGAATTCAGCGTGGTTTTGGTTACTGCAGTCTATATTCCACCTGATGCCAATACTACCATAGCTTTGGGATTCTTGTATAACATTGTTAGTAATCAGCAGAATAAATATCCTGATGCTGTGCATATCATAGTGGGGGACTGTAATCAAGCTGATTTAAAAACTGTGTTCCCTAAATTCTATCAGCATGTTAAGTGTGCTACTAGAGGAGCAAACATATTGGACAAAGTATATACCAACGTCAAACATGGCTATAAGGTTACACAATTACCACATTTGGGACAATCAGACCATATGTCATTGCTTTTAGCATCAGTATACACCTGGGCTTTGCCTATAATAAAGACAGTGAAATCTTGGCCAGAAGATGCTTCCCAACAACTTCAGGATTGTTTTGAGAACACAAATTGGGACATCTTTTACCATCCTGACCTAGAGGAGCACACTGCAACTGTTCTGTGCTATATCAAACACTGCACAGATACTATCACTGTGGATAAACGTATTAGGATCTATCCCAATCAGAAATCCTGGATGACCAAGGAAATCCAGTGCCTCTTGCATGACAGGACCAAATCCTTTAGGTTCAGTGATGGGGCAAGATATAGTGTTGCCAGAGCTAATCTGAAGAAAGGTATTCAGAAGGCCAAGACTGATTATAAGAGGAAGATTGAGGATAATTTTTATAGCAATAACATGAGGCAGGTGTGGCGAGTGATTCAACAAATTACCAACCACCAACCAACCAATGTCATCCCTGCTGAGGGGGATGCTTCATTGGCAGAGGAACTGAATCATTTCTTTGCTCGCTTTGAAGTGGAGACATCAGAGACAGATAAAATACAACCACCAGCAAATTGTAGCCCCCACCTCATTGTGGAGGAACAGGAGGTGAGAAGCATTCTGAGGGCTGTGGATCCTAGAAAGGCTGCTGGTCCTGACAGTATCTCTGGCCAAGTGCTTAAAGACTGTGCTGATCAGTTGGCTGGAGTCTTTACCAGGATCTTCAATCGGTCTTTATCCCAATCCATTATTCCATCTTGTTTGAAGGCTTCCACCATTGTTCCGCTGCCAAAGAAGTTCCCTATCAATAACCTCAACTATTACAGACCAGTGGTACTCAGTCCTATCATCATGAAGTGCTTTGAGAAATTGGTCTGCTGGCACATCATTTCTGGTCTTCCGCATACATTTGATAAACACCAGTTTGCATACAGAAGAAATAGATCTACAGAGGACGCTATAGTCATCACTCTTCACACTGCTCTGACTCATCTAGAACAGCAGGGGTGCTATGTGAGGATGCTTTTTGTAGATTTTAGTTCTGCATTTAACACAATTCTTCCACATAGTCTAGTGTCTAAACTTCTGGACCTTGGACTTTCTTATTCAATTTGCCTTTGGATTATGGATTTCCTGTCTGGCCGCTCACAGAGGGTCAGATTAGGTAATCATACCTCTTCAGCTCTTATTCTTAACACTGGTACACCACAGAGTTGTGTGTTGAGTCCCTTACTCTATACTCTTTATGTGCATGACTGCATTCCCACTCACGCTAATAATACTATTACTAAATTTGCAGATGATACAACAGTGGTGGGACTCATCTCCAGGGAGGATGAGTCTGCCTACCGAGATGAGGTGGACCGGTTGCTTTCGTGGTGTGGAGACAATAACTTGGTCCTCAACACCAATAAGACCAAGGAGCTTATAGTGGACTATAGAAGGAACAGATCAGACATCCAACCCTTGCTTATCAATGGAGACCGAGTGGAGCAAGTGGCCAGTTTTAAGTTTCTGGGTGTTACCATAAAAGAGGACCTGACCTGGGGTGCTCACATTGCAGCACTGGTCAAAAGGGCCCAGCAGAGATTATATTACCTGAGACTTCTCAGAAACCAACAACTGAATGAAAAACTGTTGGTGACCTTCTACCGCTGAACCATAGAGAGTATCTTAACTTACTGCACCTCTGTATGGTTTGCCAATTGCACAGTGGCAGATAGGAAAGCACTCCTGAGGGTTAATGTCATTGCCCAGAAGATCATTGGTTGCCCTCTTCCCTCTTTGGAAGAGCTTTATAGCTCCCGCTGCCTTAAGAAAGTTCAAAACATTCTCAAAGATCCATATCATCCTGGGAACCCTTTTTTTTGAACTACCATCTGGCAGACTGTACAGAATAATAAAATCAAGGACAAATAGGCTGAAAAACAGGGCAGTAGCTCTGGGCAGTAGAGATGTTGGAATCCCAGGGCAGTAGCTCTGTTGAATTCTACTGTATAGTGCGGTGTTGGTGTGTTGTCAGGGTTTTCAATTCAATGTGTGGAGTGTGAAGGATGTGTGTTCGTGTTTATTTTCATGGTCATGATGTGCAATGAAGATGGTATTTGATTTCATTGCACAAGGTGCATTGACAATAAAGTAAACTAAACTAAAATTAAATACTAAATGATAAAATATTTTGTAAATAGGATCACATTGATTATAATTGTAGCAGCCTATAAATTATAGATGCTTCCTTTAATATTTATTATGTAACCTGGCTCAAAATGAAGACTGAAATTGGATAGATCCTGTATCCATGAACCTCCAAAGTTTAGGAAATGATCTTGGCAGACATATTACATTATTAATTAGAATATATATCCTGCACAATTTGCTAATAACTTATGTTCAACAACTAGCCTCTCAAGAGTTGAAAATATTATAACTCACATTGCAAGCTACAGCATATTGATATATAAGTTCCAGTAAGATCACACATTTCTAAGTTTATCTTAGCAATATTTAGGAAATGTCAATAGATAGGTTTCTTCTGTGCTTTATCTAAGAAATAAATTAGGGTTTCCATGATAAAGCCAAATAGGAATCTAATTTTCCTTGGTTATGTACAAGAATACATACACACAAACACATATTTACTCTGTCACTCAAAAGACGATTGAAGTAAGTCTGCTGTAAATACCAGAGCAGGCACTATTAGTTTCACAGGAGGAGAGGTCCCATAGCGTCGTGCTTTTCTCACAGCAAACTTTTCAGTTGGGATAGATTTTCCTGCAATTCTTTGTTTTAGGCCTTCTACTTGCCTATAAGAGGAAAAACAGTAGTTTTTTTAGACATGAAAAGCTCACATTGTTGACTTTTGCTTTACTGATGTTGTTTCAGAAACCCCCAACCTATAACAAGTTCTACTGTATAATAAAGCCTAGAGAGGTATTTTAGTTTTAATGTATAATATTTATTACTTGCAGTGTATTTTTAGAAATAAAAATGGAAGAGAATCATAGAAAGCTATAGCAAATTAAAATTATGAAAATACATTAAACACCACAACATAGATCAAATGAAACTTTGGATGAACGGATGAGTTTTTAAAAGGTACAGAAAAATGTAAAGCAGAGTTTCTCAACCTTGGTAACTTAAGACATGAGGAGTTCAACTCCCAGAATTCCCCAGCCAGCATGTTCTGAGGGAATTCTGAGAGTTTGGAAATTCTGGGAGTTGAAGACCATACATCTTCAAGTTGCCAAGGTTGCTCTAAAGAATCAGTGCCAACACTAGCAGAATCCCATAATCATGGTATCATCAGGTATGAGGATCTCATTATAGAACATATAGCTATCTATACAGGTGCATAAAATGAAAATGAGTGCTAAACACCAAAGGGGATTTCATCTCAAAAACCTGCAAAAAAGCAATGAAGAGAACAAGAGACCAAGAACAAAAGAAAATATCTCTGGAAAAGAAAAAAGATCAAAACAATCAATCTAATCTGATATTTAGGTGAAGGCTTTCCAGCAGTGAGTTGAAATCATTCATGTAGATCCTAGTAATAAAAGGTTTGTGAACAACATTTAACTTATTGCCTTGAAGACAGAAAGCTTTTCAAGCATGTTTGACAAAATGCTTCCACAGTAGTATATCTAAAAATTTATTTGCAAAGTTACAATGTAAAAAAGGTTAAATCCTTTTTTAGGTTCTCTTTCCGTATATTTGGAAAAGAAAACAATAACAAGATTGTTATGAAAGCATTCCAACTAATAAACCATATACAAAGAAAGAACAGAGGTTTCTAAGTTGTCTCCTGTTTATATTTTTCAAATGCAGCAAATCTTATTGAATTACCTTTAACTGTATCGACAGTACAATTTGTAAGGGCCAAAGTATGGAATTTGATTAATGGAATGACCCCCCAAAAAAAATCATGCAAGGAAGTCCAAGTATTTTACTCTAATGAAGCTAATTTCCCAAATCTTAAAAGTTAAGTCAGGAACTTACAAGCAGAATGGAGCAAATCTTGATTTTAGTAACAAAGTGCAGTCTTAGGTGCAATATGGATTCACCAAAAATGTCTCATGCCAAATCAGATTTCTCACTTTGGATGTGAAAACTAGTAATTAATTATCTCTAGATAATCAAGTTAAGGTACTAGTTGGAAGAGGAGTGGCTGAAACATTTTTTAACTAAGGGTAGGACATACTTATGTCTAGAATTTATTTTATATGCCATCATCCACTTTAGAATACAAATTCAAGTGGCAGAAGAAACTCTATAGCAAACCCCTAGGAAAGGATTCTCCCCCCCTACCATAAAGTTATAAATGGAAGCAGTCTTTCTCAGATCAGCAGGTTTGAGGCAATGATAGCAGGCAAAAAACATGAAATTTTCAGATAAGTAGCTTAAAAGATGAAGCTTTAAATAAATTCTTTTCTTTTGAAAAGTATTACCGAAACAAAGCTACAATATCTTCTCCTGTTGTTTTCACATCAGCATCAGGAAGCATACACAAAATAGCAGCTTTCTGGAACACATATATTGCCTAGGCAAAATAGAATAAAAATATTCAATATATAGTTTCTTACAACATATCTGATCACAGTAATGTACTTTACACACTGTGTGATCACAGAGGTATTAAGCTGAATTATTGTTCCATTACCATTAAAGTTTTGCCTTACACAAAGCACAGGTGTCTTGGTGAGCAAAAAGGAAGATAGTAGATGACACAGATTCATGACACCACTAGTCTCTAATTATGTACTTGTGTCAGACATCATGTATACATAATTATGTTATTTGCCTGATGACATAAGTAATGAATGTTTTGACATAATTGTGACTTCTTAGAAATGCCCATGTTTAAGACGACTTTTTTGGCAATATGAATGAGGTCATAGGAAAAGCAAGGAGCCATCTTACTGAAAAATGATAATAAACGTGGAATGTGTTCCATAATAGTCTAGCAAAGCACTTTTTTCTCAGTAGTTGTTACTATAATTTCTACTTTGCCAATTTCTCAGTTGCTAAAAATCAGTTACAATTAACTTTTTCCTTTAAATCAATGTTGAGGTGAATGGCATTTGAGTATTTAACCCAGGGAGGCTTGTATGATGGCATACTGTATAAGCATGAAGTGTTCTCACCACTTCACAACAGTACTGGGTTACCCATTTACCTTTGACCACCTGCTTTCTTTGCAAAGCAGATCTGCATACCGATATGCTTGAAGCCAGTTCTGCTGGAAGGAGTAACACCACATCAGTTCCCAGTAGCAGAGATGATGGATTTGTTTCCATTCTTGTTGTGCTGCAATGCAGTCCTGGAATGTTACCTCAGCCTGGAATTTAAAGGAAGAGAAAAATCAAACCATAGAAAAGAAGACTTCTCATTCAAATTATGGCCTTTTATTTTCATTTCATATAAAAGATAGATATAAAGAATATAATGAACTTTATGGTTCAATATTTTGAAATATTCAAGCAAACAACTGCAATTTGGTGTTATGTGTGGAAGGTGGGATAAATAAGCCTGTATAAAAGTTTTAAAATGGCTTTACAATAATAGTCAGATTTAGCAAAGAAAGAATTGGTATATTTGATTCTTGCCTAGGTTAAACTTTTATGAGGGTTTGCTATATCACATGAAAAAATGAAAATATGAGGACTTGCTTCTTCAGAAAGTAAACCTTTTACTGCTATTGATATTCCCTAACTTGGTGGAGTAACTGTTTGGGTTTTGGTTTTTGTTTTGGCTCTTTCCACTCTCAAATGTCATTACTGAAGTTGATCATTATGAGCATTTACCAAACAGTGCTTTTCTTTTTCTCCTCCATTTTTCCCTTCTTTGATTTTTTTAAGCTTGTGAGCAAAATTTTGTTATAACTAATGCAGTATTTCAGTTTTTATTTTAAAAGGGGGCAATCTGCTGTTACCTTTTCAAAATTTCCTTTCAATATGTTGATTCTGGCATCGTAAAACAGAATGAGGGCACCCTTGAAAAAGATTGCAACTTTGTTAGTAAGGTAGAAGTGTTAACCACAGTTAAAAATACTTAACAATGTGAATTCATAAAACCTTTGGGAACTTCTGAAGATAAGGTTGAAGGAGAGCCTCTGCTTCAAGGAGATTGGCTTCCCCTGTTCCTGTAGAAATAACAACATCCTCTCTCAGTATTGATAATGATATCATACATTGATTCATACAAGCTAATTAATATATAGTATTATTAGAAAACAATATTAAAAGAAAACCTATTTTAATTAAATGTAATAAAAGTTGTCATAGTACAGGTAGTTCTCAACCTATAACAGTTCTTTTAGTGACCATTCAAAGTTACTTCAGCACTGAAAAAAGTGACTTATGACCATTTTTCATACTTATGATTGTTGCAGCATCCCCATGGTCACATGATCAAACTTTGAATGCTTGGCGATTAGCATGTATTTATGATCGTTGCAGTGTCTTGGGGTCATGCAATCAGATTTTGTGACTTTCTGACAAGCAAAGACAATGGGGAAGCCAGATTCACTTAACAACCATAACCACCTAACTGTTACTAACATAAGAACTGCAATGATTCACTTAACAATGGTGTCAGAAAAGGTCGTAAAATGGGGCAAACTCACTTAACCAATGTCCCACTTAGTAACAGAAATTTTGAGCTCAATTGTGGTTGTGAGTCGAGGACAACTTGTATAGTAAAAGATTACAGTACAGGAAGACATTCATACTGAAGCAGAACACTGAAAGATACTATCAGACATTAGGTTTTTTAAAGAAAAGAAAACAACTTCCAGATTTAATGCTTAAATATGATTTTTTTCTCTTGCTTTTTTAACGAAATGAAGTATCAGGAAGATAGTTAAAATGAAAGATGAAGTAGGAATAAAGCCAAAAGGAAATGAAAATCTCTCTCTCTCTCAAAGCACAAGTATTATTTTTCTATCCAGAATCAACATTTATGTAGAAAAATGATCAATTAGAAAAACTGTAATATAATATATCAGTAATATAGTTAATAAATGACCAATTTAACTAAATCTAAAATAAATAACATCAAGATTATAAGAATTATATGCAATAAAATGTTTAAAAGAAATTTGAGTTCAGATCTATAATTATCTGTACAGAGGACTTTTTTTTTTAGAATTAGAATTCTTTTATTGGCCAAGTTTGATTAGACACACAAGAAATTTGTCTTGGTGCAAATGCTCTCAGTATACATAAAAGAAAAGATACATTCGTCAAGGGTCAAGAATCATAAGGTACAACACTTAATAATAGTCACAGGGTACAACAATTTTATTAATTTCAAAAGAACTTGTTTTTAATGTAAGATTCCTTCCCTGATGAGATCTAGATAATTTATAAAAGAATGATCGAACTCCTTTAAAATTAAGTTTTAGCTTTTAGCCTATTCTTTATCAAAATAACTTCAGTAGTAATGGAGTTTTAATCATTATTTAGGTATCCAATTCTATAAAAATCTTATCTCCCATTCTGTGTACTAATGGAACTGCTTTATCTTCAAAAAGTGTGTGAATGAAGAAAGATCAGAAACCAAACATCTGAAGTTAAATATGAATTAATTTGATACATGAGATGTTCATTTCTTAATACTATCATAGGAAGGTTCAGGGCTAATTTAATTTGCATTCTCTGAATTTTATTTGAATTCCTAATAATTTGTGATACACTAAATTATTTTTCACCTGGATATTCATAAGTCTTACCAAGGATTAATGAAACAAAGGTGTGATATAGCAACAAGGTAAAAGTACACAGTATTGCTCGTAAACTGGATCCAGAAGCTCCTTCCCGTAACTGATGAAGACCAATTTCCTGTCAACAGCCACAAAATTGTACAATATAAGTCACAATAATCTATCATTTTTATGAATGCTATTTCAAGAAAACACAAAAAAGGAACTTGTATGAACACAGTAGCAAGGTAGAATTCCAACTATGTCAGTATCATTTGCAAGTGAAGTGATGTATGTCTTATAGATCATTCAATGTACTGAATATTATTTGATCCATGACCCTGTTTTATTTAGGTTGTGGATCATGTAGATTTCTACTCATGCTGAAGCATAAAGGCCCCCCTCAAGCCTTCTCATTCCCAGGAGAGAGGCAGGGTCAGTGTGGAAACACCATTGTTTTCTCTCCACTTTCAGGCACAGGGCTAAGACTATGACAATTCATCATGGCCGACTTGCCATAGCCAACTCACCATGGCAAACTCGCTACACCCATCTTATCACTAATATCAAAGAAATGATGGAATAGTACCATTTAAGGATGCAAAAGGAGGGACAGAATGAAATGTGAATGACAAAAATTAAAATATATTTTTATTTTATTTTGAATAACTAAATTGAATTGTTAAATTATCCTGCAGCGAATTGTCCCGCGGCAAGTGGCAAGTTGTCCCACAGCAAGTTGGCAGTGGTGAGTTGACTATGGCAAGTTATCCCATTCTGACAACGCTATAGACAGGAGACAGAGAGAAAAGATATACATTGTTCACTGGAGAAAGGAGAGACAGTAAATGAAGAAACCAATCAAGGAGTAAGTTCTGTTAATAGAACAATTTTGATAGCAGTAGGTGACAGCAATTATATTCCATTATTTGTAAAATCTGCTTTATTAAAAGTAATAGTAATAAAAATATTGAAGATTTTAAAACTAAAGATATAAATACTTTGTGTCACCTACATCTCATATCCCTATAATCAGATCTGAAGATGATCCAGATGCATCAATTATTTCTTTCTGTCCTGACAAGCAGAGCTCGTGAGCTGTTTTAAAAATTCATAATAGAAATTAAATGTAATACCCTATTGCCTGAAAACCCAATAAATTCAAGAAGTCGGAGAATTCTTCCTGGTAAAAGGGACAGCATCTGCAAAAAAGGAAAAAAAACAAAGATTCCATCTGTTTTTAATGCAGCAGGAAAAACAAATATTTAAAAGTTATAGCATAATAGCTTTAAAAATGTTCAGCACAACTTTCAGACAACATTAATAAAGTCCAAATGACTTGATGGTATGTTTTTTTACATTCAGCAGCATTTCTTTTTTAAATTATACGTGAGGAATTGTATAGTTTAATTATTTTATATTTTATTTTTTGTTTTAAACTTGTTTTCTCCCCAGAGTCATGGTGAGAGGAACAACCATATAAATCTAAAATAATTGAATAGAATTTTTTTAAAAAAAAAAAAACTTTCAGGGAGTTCTGTATTCCAATACAACAATAAAACCACGAATCATAAAATGCATATGTACAGTTATTTTTAAAAATTGTACAGGGTGTAGTGAAAGCACAATAATGTTGGAAAGGTACAATATAATGCGCCTGTTTTAAATAGCTCATGCATCAAAAGTTCGATTACACATTGGAAGAAAAGCTCATACCAGATTGAAAGCTCCTATTCCTAGTTGTACACCCCCTTCAAACTGGTGGAATATTTCATTCCTGATTTTGCTGCTTTGGGTCATCTGCAGAACCTGAAGGCATTCCCTTTTGATTAACAAAACAAATCATGCTAAATTAGATAACAGCAATGATAATATGAACTATTATTATTTCAGAGATTTAGTTTACCATGCTATACCCTACGGGTGTCATTTGATTGGGCTGCATTGGGTGAAGACGAATTGTCTTAGGTCGCATATGAAATATATAATATAATTAATTAATATATAAATAACAAACTTCCTTTTTAAATATGTATATCTTGCGTGGTTACGTTGCTAACTGCCCAGGGATGCATGCCAGTCCTCGTCTGAATTTAAATTTACAGATACTTGCCCCATTGACATTATCATTAAAATTCACATCTATTTAGCAATTTCCATTATTTTCTATTCTAGAATCCCAAAATCTATGATTTCACAGTAATTTGATCAATGACACCCAATATTTACCTACATACACTGTAATATCAGTGCATTATTTGTTTATTTATTTATTTATTTGGTTTATATTGCCGCCTATTTGCCCATGGTGACTTGAGGCGGCTTACACAATGTAAAATCATATTTAAAACATAAAATAAAAATAAAAACAATAAGAACTAACAAAAAGAATCAAATAAATTAGTAAAGTACAATAGAACAAAATTTGGGGAAACAAAAAAACAAAAACCAACTCCCACCCCCACCCCGACGACAGCAAATCACACTAGCCATCTGATGGGTTCCATCCCTCTCTGGGTTTCCCAGGTCCGCTGGCAAAACCAGGTCTTCAGTGCCTTTCAGAATAGTATTAATGATGGGCCATTCTAATCTCTGGGGAAATGATGTTCCAGAGAGATGGAGCCACCACAGAGAAGACCCTTCTTCTAGGTTCCACCAGGTGTATCTCCCTCAGGGGTGGGACCTGCAGCATTCCTTGCCTCCTCGCTCTAATAGGTCAGGTAGATGTCACTGGCAAGAGATGTTTCCTCAGATAACCCAGACCCAAGCCATGAAGGGCTTTAAAGGTGACAACCAGCACCTTGAATTGCACCCAGAAGCAAATTGGCAACTAATGCAGCTCCTGCAGGAGAGGTGATACATGTGCACATTGGGGTCTGCATAAAACTATGTGGGCCGCTGCATTTTTCACCAACTGGAGCTTCCGGATGCTCTTCCAGGGCAGCCCCATGTAGAGCACGTTACAATAATCAAGATGGGAAGTGACCAGGGCATGAGTGACTGTGAGTAGGGACCGCTGATCCAGGAAAGGGCGTAACTGGTACACAACCCACAGTTGCATAAAGGCCCTCATGGCCACGACCACCACCTGCTCTTCGAACAGGAGCTGTGAGAAAAACCTCTAGATTACGCACAGGGTCTTTTTGGGGTAGTGCCACCCCATCCAAGACTAAAGGTGGTAATTCTCCCTGAACCAACAAACCCCAGACCCAGAGCCAGTCTTGAAAGGGTTTAGTTTCAACCCGTTGCTCCCCATCCAGTCCCTAACAGCCTCCAGGCACTGCGAGAGGACACAGCAACACTTAACTCACCACAGGCCGAAACATACAGCTGAGTATCATCAGCATATTGGTGATACCTCAGTCCATGGTGACAGATGATCTCACCCAGCGGCTTCATATAAATGTTGAATAGGAACTGAGAGAGTACCAAGTCCTGCGGAACGCCCTAAAGCAGTGGGCAAAAGTTGGATCTCTCCCCTCCTATCAACACTGACTGAGAGTGGCCGCAGAGGAAGGAAGTGAACCAATACAGCACAAGGCCTCCCATTCCCCGAAGCCGTCCCAGGAGAATCCCATGGTCAATGGTATCAAAAGCCGCTGAGAGGTCAAGTAGAGCAAGGATGGATGCACTACTCCCATCCCACGCCCGCCAGAGATCATCTAAAAGTGCAACCAATGCTGTTAAATATTTTATACTTTAAATATTAAATACTTACTTAGTATCTTTATAAATTTACTTTTATAAATTTTATTTATAAAATCTGAAAAAGGAGGCATAAGGGGAAAACAAACATGGAAAAACTATTACAAGCTCTCACAAGGGGTATTTTTTGTAAGTATAAACATATTTTCTATATAATTCCTGACAACCTCATTTAAAATCAGAATCCCGTTTTTTTAAACTGAAATATATAATAATGACACAGATCTATAATCTCATATTAGCTACAATCCCTAGCTAATTTGAATGGGTGGATGAAATGGAAAAAAATTACAATCAGGAGCTTATAATTTCTGATACCGTTTTGTAGATTCATTCATATCCACACCATGCCTGCATAATTTCACCCATGTCTACCACAAGATCCTATTTCTTTATATAGAACCACAATATTTTGCGTCTTCTGTAATAACATGTACTTTAAATAGCAGAATCACACAATTGGAAGTAATCCTAGATATCTTGTGGCCCTGCTTAGTATATGATGTAGCCATAACCTTTTGCATATCTAGCAGTAAGGATGGCACCGAGCCAAGCTTAATTCCTGGTGTCTGCATCCCTGCAGTTTTCTTGATAATGTTATGGAAATGATTGCCAATAGAAAGTAATTCACAAGCAATTACCATTGGTATCCAAACAATATAAAACAATCCAAGTACGGTATATATAGATTTATCATTATTATTTATGTTTTGTTCTGCCTTATCTTTGTAAATTCATAGTCATTTTCTATTCTTGTCTTCAATCTTCCATCTGGCATGATTTTTAAAGGAGAGGGGAGTAAATTAAAAATAGGACTGTCAAAATGATAGAATTTTTTTATTTTTTTAATCCAGGAAATTTCCCCCCACTATTTCAAGCTATGATGGGAAGTTAATTTACTAAAACATAAAACATGAATAGACATAATACACAGCCTAAGTGAAATACTATAGGAGCGTACTTATATATTTGATAACTTGTTCTGATTTTCAAGCCACCTTTGATGAAATTGATCATATTTTCATCCTGGAAGAAAAATACACTTTAAATTAAATAATGAATAAAATAGTACAAGATAGCTTTAAAAATTAAATATTCATACACACACACACACCTAAATATATATAGAAGAATGTGAAAGCTATTCTTAACCAGGGGGACCTCATTAAAGAAGTCACTGAGAAACAAAACATTATGGAATCAACTGAAATAACATATGGTAACACTAGATGGTGCTAAAAGTAAATGATAATAAAAATAACAAGAACTGTAACATTAGTTATAATAATAACATAACGGACAATAAAACTTGGCATTTCCAGAATCTTTTGATTAGAAAACTGAATTCTTCAGCAATTTCCACTTGTTATCTTTACACAAAAGTTACACTTTCTGTATGATTCCATTTTTAATACATGAATGGTATTATGCAATATGATTCATAATTAGTAATAACTAATAGTTTATATCAAATATGCTTATCTTGAAATTATCGGAACTACATCAAGTTTCAATGAAGTACAATGCTACTTATTTTAATAGGCTGTATTGTTGATTTTTAAGATATTCCTAAATATGAATTTGATAAAACATTTGATAAGTATTTAACGATAAAGATTCTGACTCTGAACACAGGCTTCAGTTCTATGAGCACAAGGACCATACTAAGGCTTCAATAGAGTATAATCATGAACAATTTTTTTACTATTTACTGAGTTCTTTGACAGTTTACCAGAATGATCCTGCCTATATATTTACTGAAGATTAAGAGAGAGGGCTTAATTGTAGAAATTCTGGCTTTTACATTCCTCACTTCTATCAAGTATTATTTGAATAACAACCAAGTTGCCAGATTCAATAAGTTCCAAGCATCCTGTTTAGCAAGATCTATTTCAGTACATAACAGCCAAAGAATATCTTGTCCTAGCTTTATTGGTTGATTGTGAGTTCTTCCCTACTTATTGCAGTTCTTTATCAGAGCCATATTTCATCTGATAAAGTGTCCTCTTGCAACCTGATTTATGGAACCTAAGGAGCAAATCTCACTATCAACTATATAATTGTGTATGTAGGATAGCAAAGTTCATCAGCAAAGACAGAATATTAATCAACTGTACAAATAAATTTATATTCAAAATCAGGAATATTATTTCTTCACTGAGAGCCACAATTTTGGAGTTGGTTACCAGCATTCCAATGCAGAACCCAATCCCTAACACCTTTTCCTAAAGTCACATATAGAAGGTGTGGATGAATATGGAAGCTAAGTCAGATTTGGCCAGAAGTTTTTTTTAACTGAAGTCTAGAATCCATGATTATGGGATAGGGCAAAAGGCTTTCCATCTATCATTATAGGAAACAGAATGGCAAGAGTCATTACTCTATCTATAATGTAGCATGATGTTTACTTTGCACAGGAGAAAGGCAAACTGGTTCCAAAGCACAAGCAAACAAGGAAGAAATCGATAATGTCTGTGTATGAAGCACTATTAAATGTGTGTCAGATGAGAACATCTCAAAAAGTACAGTTACATCTAATGCTCTAGAAACCGGCAAGACAATCTTGCATATAAGCCAGTGATAACTGCATATAAGATATTTTGGGCAACAATATTTTTGAACATCATAGTATGCATACAAAATTTACTGCTTCCAAATTTCTGTAATATTTGATGGAGGAATCTCATGGATAAGAAAAGATGTGCGTGCTGAAGGTAATTTGCCAGATGACCTCACTGAGATTCACAAATCCTACTCTAGCTTTAAAAAGTACTACTTTCGCTACTGAAATTCTAATCTTTCTCCATGTCTTAATATTAATAAATTCATACCCATATCTGAATGTCTTGCCTCAGAAAGGCAGTAGCGATACCAAAGAAAAAAAA